CAGCAGGAGGAATGTCAGAGTACCAAATAGCCCCATAAGTTTAACCGATCAAGACTATAAAATCTCTAGTTTATCTGTTGAAATACCCACCTTTCCAGTTTCACTGGTCAATCATCTGGTCATAGGACCACCCCTAGGAAGATGGGTTATGCTAAACAGAGGGGCAGAATATCTAGTGCGTTAATGAGCAAATTTTTCCTGCCTGGAATCCCGCCTCCTAGCACAAAACTTCTGGACCAGCCACAGTCATGCAGGTCTCTGTAAGTCCGTCTGCTTTTCTGAACTCCTCAGAAAGGCGTAATTTCTCCTTTTCTTCTTCATGCCTTTCTTTCTAAACGTGCTTTCTCTAAGGCTTTGGGCTGCCCCGAGCATCTTGTATTTCTTTCCTTTTTCTCTAAAGCTTCCTTCTCCCAGCCATGTGGCTTCCAGTCAGCCACACGTCTGACCAACGTGCAGGCTCTAATCCTGCTCCATGGCTTTCTTTCCTTCTTCCCACTATTCACCTCCTCAGGGCAGCTGCCAAGATTACCAGCTCACCTGCCCTGAGGGTTTTTCTTTAAAATTCTAATAAAACTGTAAAAGCTTCCATTTGAGTCCATTCTTAAATTCTTTCATGAATGAGACTAAGTAAGAACCCTCTAGGCGATATTCTTTCTCCCCATTTCACCCCAACCTCCCACCCCCACCGTAGGCTCCAAAAAATAATGTCTGGGTCTCAAAGTTTCACCTCCTCTGTGCCTTGACCCTGTCCTGGTTGCCATGGTAATCAGATCTTTGGCAGCATCCTGATCCCATCCCTAGGCCTAAACTTCATTTCAAGCACATACAAGAACAAGAGTCATAGTGAACATTCAAAAAAAGAAAGAAATTCTCAAAAAATAAAAAATTTGAAAAAAAAATTAAAGAGCAAAAAGAATCTCCCGAGGAGAAGGAAGACCATCAAGGCACACTAGCTGCCATTAAAGCAGGTGCACCTATGTACTGTCCAACAAATCACATTTCTAACAACCTGCTCAAAAAATAACCTTAAACATAACAGACTATGAGGAACAGAAATCGAATTGTGTTGGATCAAAATCAACCATAAAGTAACCCAATCTGATTCAGGTATCTTAAATGACAAAAGCTTAGTATTATATAACATGGTTAATTATTATTAAAATATAAAATAAAATGTGAAACGGCAAATTTCTAAACTTCTAAATATTATGATGTTGGAAATGTGTGAATTCCAGTGGGGGGGTGGAAGGGAGGGTGCCGATGGGGAAGAGGATATCAAGATGATTCATATCTTCTGTATGATTTACACAAATTCAATAAAAATTCAAAAAAAGAGATTACGACGTCAGAAAAACAGTTAAGGGAACTGATGGCAATTAGTACATTCTACATACCTTTTAGATAACCGAAGAACTTGTGTTTGTGTAAATTAGGAGGAAAATGTATCAAGCTAAATATCCTCTGAGACACACACAGAATCCTTGCTATTACTCTAGAAAAAATAGGCTTTTTAGTCATTAATCGGTCTTACCTAATTTTCTCAATAAGACACAGATTCACTGTAATAAGGGCAGCTGGATGTGAATCTCCGAATGAGCAAGAGCAAGAATACCACATCTGCTAACTTAAAAAATAAAAAATTTCAAAGTTTTAAAAAAGAAAACTAAAGTGATCTGTGACTCAGCACAAAGCTGGCTGCTCCTTCTTCCAATCATTATTGTTTTCTAGACATCAATTCTCATTATTAAAATAAATCACAACTGAGTAAGCACCTGCCAATAGAGGAGTTTTAATACAATGATTTAAGGAATTACATGAACAGCTGCCACTTGTGAAGAGCTGCCTACATTTAAAAATTCAAGCCAACCCATCCAAATGTATGTGAGCATCTCCTTCCTTCCTTTCTACATCACTCTGCTCCGCTGCAATACTTTGATTTCCTGTCACACCTTACCTGATCAAAAAGGTCAGTACCATCTGACCCAGCTGCTCTCATCAATTCATCTTCCCCACCAGGATGATACTCCATATATGGGCTGACATTATAAACGAACCCTGTATCAAAGCAAGGAGAGATAACATCCTAAATGACCTTCCTAAAACTTGTAGAACCTAGAAATATAAGTTCCAGTACATTTTCCTCAACATTTCCCTTAATTCACTATTTCAAAGTATCAAGAACTGTAAGGGTCTGAAATGTCACTGCCTTTACAAGCTAACAAATTAACCTGCCAGTTTCCTGATGCCTCACAGATAACATGGGACTTGCAGATAGAAACAATGAAGTTTAACAGTCATAGTAATGCCATAACTAGAACACCAACATTTGCATCAGTTCCCCGACACCCAATTCCTACAGGGCTGTATGAAAAGGACCCAGCAAGAGCCAAACACTCCTATTGCTCCAGGAGAGGAATGATAATCTCAGTCTTTCATAAATATTAGTGCCTGGCCTCTACTCTGGAGAGAGGCATGATCTCGGTTAAGCTTTATAAGTAAACCTTTTCATAAGTAAACCTGTCTTTTGTTCTAGAGGGAGACACTCTATTATCCAAGGCTGTTGTTCAACATGCAAATATCCATGAAAAGATTTCCCAGAATAATCAGTATCTCTGCTCATAAGACATACATAAATGCAAAAGACCCACACAGAACTGCCTCCCAAAACAGTGATGACACACTCTTTATATAATTTTTTAATATATACACATACACATACACACAAGACAACACTAATATTCCCAAGCCACCAAGCTACTACCCCCTCCTGCCCTGAGGAGAACCTGATGAAAAGAAGGGATCTCTTCTTCACGTGTCAGATCTTCTGCAAAGGCCAGGCAGCAGGACCCCTCAGACCTATTCTGGGAGAGAAAGCCTGCCTCATCTCTGCAGCTGCCCAAGTAACAAAGGTATCCAGACCATCATCTTCGGATCATCTCCAAATTGTTACTTAATCTACTCATGTATGCAACTACATTTTTATCACGTAAGAAAGAGGAACAGCGAACAAATAAAGCAAGCTCTGCTAATGAAAGCTTCCTCAAAGAAGCGAGCTGCTTTCTAAATCTCTACTTAAAAGTTAAATAGTAGATAAATTCAGCTGTAAAGACAACTCAAAAGAATAAGAACTTTAAAAAAATATAAAACTGGTTCATAAAGATTCCATAAATTTAAATAACCCCAGATAACTTAAAATGTTCACTTGATATCCTCATCTCAGAGAAAAAATGGGAGGCTGGATTTCAGACCCTCTAAAGCTCCTCTGGCTTTCCTATCAGCTAAGTTTTAGGAACCAACAACCTAGAGTTTGCAGATCAAGCTCAAAAGGAAGTGATTTCACAGAGCCCCTTTCAGCAGTCCTTCAAAGTCTTAAAAACCCAAGACCTCCCACCTTTCTCCTCATCAAATTTGGGAGGATGTTTTTCTGCTGCTTATAATGCTTCACAAAATCCACACTTCACACATTAGCGCCAGCAGTAATGACTAGGATCAAAATGACCCCCAACAGGATGTTTGGGACGGAGGGTGCTTTCCAAACATGCTTCAAACTTTCAGTGGAATCAGGAGTTCTCAAGAACAAGGTATCTAGCGCACACGGTCCTCTGTGCAGAAATTTCATGCTTTAGCAATTGGCTTTTCAAGTAGCTTTAATAGCTGTGTCAGCATATAACATCTGGAACATCCCAGGGTTCTCCAGTGCCTCGTAGTCCTTTAGGCTGACAGCTTTTTCAGTCTCACCTTCCTTCCTAATAGACTAGGATCACTGCAGATCTGAGGAACACCCATCCTTTTCAGCTGGACAGAACTGGGAATGATTGTAAAATTCTTCATCATAAGCAATGAAGACAATTAGTACTTTGGTCACAGATAGATCAGATCTAACCATACTTGGCAGTTAGTAATTTGCTAATTCTGAAAGAATCAAGTCCCTTTCCACCACACTTGGTAGTTAGTAATTTGCTAATTATGAAAGAATCAAGTCCCTTTCTTTGATACTGAGGCTCTTCTCCCTAACCTTTCTTACTCCTTTGTTTCTCCTTTTTAAAAGCATTTCTTAACTATTAAAATATTGGCTCCCTGAATGTGGTATGAGAAAAAGAGCAGATCTGAGCACCTCACTGCCCATTATATAGAAATAAATGCCATTTGTAGACTTAAGTTTCTCTTCCTGTGGCTGGGATAAACATGCCCTGACAAAAGCAACTTAAGGGAGAAAGGGTTAATTTGGCTCACATTTCCAGGTTACAGTGCATCATAAGCGAGAGAGCATTAAGGGTGCAGGAACTTGAAACAACTGTTCACATCTACCCACGGTGAATGAAGAGCAAAGAGCGTTTCCACCACCTACTCCCACACCCAGCTTCATACATGATGCTGAAACACAGCACAGTGTAAGACCCATGTGACATCTGTACCTGTTAATCTACCTCTCAGATGAAGCTACCACAATAGCACAGGCTAGGAACCATAATGGCTCACCAACATGGAATGAACAGGATCGCCATGGCCTGAGCCATGCATTTGCTGACTAGAATTTTTCATTTCTTCTTTCTTTTCTTCTGTAAGTCAGTCTTACAGTATAGACCGGGGTCTCAGAACGGAGCTCAAGAAAGACACTTTTGGTGGTCCAAGGCTCAGATCTTTTCAGTAAGACTACAATGTTATCATCTTCTTTTGAAAATTTTCATTCTTGCACAAGTGCAGCATTTTCTAGAGACTACATGGGCATGTGACGTAAGATTAGAGAGGGTAACATGACATTACAGCTGTGACCTACTAAGCCATATATTAGAGATAGCTGCCAAAATATAATGTACTTTTGGGTTTTTTTGATTTAGAAAAGTTACTTTTATAAATATAGGTATTATTTCTAGCATATAGGTTAATTACCTTTATTAACTTAATTTAAAAATATTCTTTAATTAAATTTCTTAATTTTAATTCTGGAAAGATAAAAGTCAACAGACATCATGTAAACAAAAGCCCTTTTGGTTCCTCAGGAGTCATTAAACGGTAAGGAGATGCTAAGACCAAAAAAAATCTGAGGCCACTCACTTAAGTAAAAGTGGTATTTTCATTAAAGGAAATGTTGTTAATTAGGAATTAAAAAGGAATGTTGTTAATAGTCAAACAAAAAATACTAAAATCTAGTGCCCCACAGTTTATTCATGTAACAAATTTATTTAATGTCTATTGTGTATGTATCAAGTACTATGCCATTACACTGTAGTATTTCATGCAACAAATTTATTTAATGTCTATTGTGTATGTACAAGTACTATGCCATTACACTGTAGTATTTCCATTTCCTTAAGATTTTCATCATTGTTCGTTAAGCTGGTTCCAAAATAAATGAGGGGAAAAGATACGTTCACATGTAAAAACACGCATATTCCCCTGTATTCAAATATAAAATGGATTTTCTTATAAGTACTGTGACTATTTTGCCATCTTGTGTTCAATAAAGAAATTGCACTATATCGTTATTTGGTCCACTAATTTTTATCTAGTTCTAACAACTGCCAAGATGTATTAAAGTCTGTAACTCAATGCAAATTCTATTAATTAACCAATTCTACTAATTCTATCAATTGATTCTATTAATTCTATAAAGTAATAAATTCTATTAATTATATAAATTCTATTAATTAACCAATTCTATTAATGTTCACTACATATTTTGAAGCTGTTACCATACATAAGCACAGTCTTCCAATGAACTGACTTGTGTGTATGTGTGGTATATGAACTTGTTAATATGGCTGAGTGCATGTTCACATGTGTGGGGAAGCCAGAGTTTGACTTCAGGTGTCTTTCATTAATCACTCTCCATCTTATTTTTTTAAGACAGTGTCTCTCACTGAATCTGAATCTCATCAACCTCTGGCCTCCAGAGACACAGGCACAGACATGTGCACACACACGTACACATACATAGGCACACACGTACACATACACAGGCACACACCATACATTTCTGGTTTCCTTTGGGTTCTCAGAGACCTTTTTTTCCCAACAGCATTCAATTATACAGCTCTGAGATGGAATGTTATTCCATACAAACTGGATGGAAGTGTTCACTCATCACTTTAACATTACACCGCTTGGCAGACATACTTCCTTTCAAAGGGAGTGCAGGATAGGGATGCTACAAAAAGATTTCCATTCCAGAAGTTTACTGTCCTCTGCATCATTATGTGAAAGGTTATGTAGGGAAGAAATCCTGTCCAACATCATAACAAATGTTATTTATGGTCTTGTAAGGCTATCTTTGTTACCTGAGTCCAAATCGTATCACATGATTCAGCAATTATATGGCATTATTAATAGCAAGCCTAGGCAGCAGTTTTTGAAATAATAAATAGCACCCACCTCTTATGCATATCCAACAGTCGTCTTTCGTGTTGTGTGTCTTAAGTTCTTCTTCAGTGACTTCAATTAACCTCCCTTTTAATCCTGTTAAATCCTTTCCACTTTTGGTCAGTCGAATCCAATCCATAAGACTTCTGCCCTGTTTTAAAGGTACCTAAAAATGGAAAATAGAAATTAAACTGGTTTCAAGTTAGTTGCTTTCCTTTCTTCTCCCTACACTTGCCTTTGGACCTTTTATTCCCATTTAAAAAGAAATGTTGGGAAGCCAAAGTGGAAGCACAGTAAGCGTGGTCAGCCAGGTTACACAGCACGAACCCCGCCTTAAAAAAAGATCAACCTCAAATCCAACAATTCTACAAATCTTATCTTTTGGAGGATGTCAAAACTGTTTTCACTTCATCAGAATTTTATTTTAGTTTCATTCCCTTTTTATTTAATTGGCTTTAAATTTTTATTCTTGGCTAATATTTTACTTTATTTTGTTCTTGTCTGACAGGGAGGGTTCTGTTCAGGCTGGTCACAAACGGGCAGCCATCAATCCCTTGCCTCTTGCATTCATCAAGCTTCCAGACCCAAGTGGATACTCAAGCCAAGGACAGCACCAAAAACTCTAGACACACACACACACACACACACACACACACACACACACACACACACACACACACCTCTTTTTCTCCTTCACAATTCATGGAAAGCTGTTTTCACTGTGGATCTCAGCAACCCCACACGATTTCTTCCTGCTTAAGAACTCTCACCTTTCCACCTAAAGGAAACAGTTCATGCTTCTCTTTGGCATAAAATTTGTAACACTGTTACACCTGCACTTCAGGCCATTACTAAGTAAATGAACGGTTACTGAAGACAGGCACTTCTACACCACACCCACCAGTCTAGTAACAAAACAAGACAGGAGTGGGCAGTGCAGACAGTACAGACACAGGACAACAGGGTGACTCAAGTGCCAGGCAGGATGGAGCAGGACATCACCAAATTTCATCACGCTAATTAAATAGTGCATCATTGAAAACATATGAATTCTTTATGTCTGAAGTTTCCTATAGAATATATGCAGGTTGTGCCTGACTGAGGGTAACTGAAACACGGCAATAAGATCATGGATAAGGGAAGGCTACTGTATTTACTGTGTTTGCTGTGATACCTTTTGCAGAAAATGTCTGCCTACCCCTGCTTACAGAGCTCAGTAACTAGATACTTGAGTTCTGTGTTCCTCTACAAAATTTATTTTCAAGGCCTTTTAGGTGAGAGACTGCTATGGTTTGAATGCGTTCAGCCCTCCCCGCCAAAAAATGCAAGTTAGGGTTGGAGAAATGGTTCAACAGTTAAGAGCACTAGCTGTTCTTGTAGAAGACACAGGTTTGATTCCCAGCACCCACACTGTGCCTAACAACTGTCTGTAATTCCAGTTCCAGGGCATCAAATGTCCTCTTCTGACCTCTGAGGGCATTGCATGATAGAGATGCACTTTCATACAAGCAGGCAATATACTCATACACATAAAATAAAAATAATAATATTTTTAAAAAACACAAGTTGTAAACTCACTCTCCAAGGCAGTTGTATTGAAAGGTAGGGCCCAATGGAAGGTGTTTAGGTCCAGAGGGTTAATGTTGATTATAAACGGGCTTGAAGGTCATGATAACTTCCACCATGTTACAACAAAGTAAGAAGGCCCCAACCAGATATAAGCCTCTTAACCTTACACTTCCCTTTTAATAAATAAATCTGTCCTTTATCTATGATCCAGTCAGGTATTCTCTTACAACAACACAAAATCTATCAACAGAGGCACTACTAGTATTTTAATTAGTTAAGAAAACGTAGTGGAAATCTTTCAAGACATCTCTATTGAACAGGGCTACTCTTTACATCTGCCCAGTCAGCTTATTACAAAGTACCAGAAGATGGCACTGCAAAAGTGTACACATTCAAGGAAGCTTGTACAACTAACTTTCCTGAATTATATCTACTTTAGGTATCCATTTGCCCCTCAAATAAAGAGGTCAATAGGACTGGTGCATTTCCAACATCACATCCTGTCACATCACTCTCCCCAAAGAGTCTCATTCTGACCATTAGTGAAACTCTTGATTCCCTTCCAAGGAACAAAATGTGAGAAAAAAAAAGATTCCTATCCCAGAGAAAATCACTGGTCTCTCTCCATTCTATAATCCCCAGGATAGTTCATCTTTTGGAAATGTGACTGAAATCACAGGCCTTCCTTCTTGAGGGGGACCATGGTACCTTGCTGGCTCCAAGAGTTCCGTAGTTCTTGGCAAGAGTGCTGTTTGACAAAGTTCCAGCTGAAAGCCAATGACCGCTGCTCTTTTGGTGAATATCCCTTCCCCAGTTACTCCTGGTTTTTGTAATTTGTATAACCTTCTGTTCTTTAAGTATTCTGATAACCAGCTCTGATGATGGAATGGGAAACTAAACCCGGGAAATCTCTGCCTTTAGCAGAATTATTATGTTACCGAAACAAAACGAAAGTAATAAGATAGACGACTTCCTCCTACGACTATGACCTCATTTGGACCTGCATTTGTGACTAATAATGAGGCTTGGTTTCCCCCAATGACTTCCTCCTATGACTATGACCTCGTTTGGACCTGCATTTGTGATTAATAATGAGGCTTGGTTTCCCCCAAAAGGAAAAGATAGCATGCAATAGATGCCCTGCTGCCTTTTACAGGAGTTTATGACTTTAACCCTTAACGAGGAACTATTGAGACTAAAGTTTGGTACAAGGAAAAACTACTTGGCTGAGGGAAACTCCTTCTTGGATAGAAAGATTAGCTAGGTCAGTACCAAGCTGGTGGTGCATGTCTCCTCAATAAAAAATGCCTATTTTTTTACAAAGAATAAAAGCGATTCAAAATGCCCTTAAAGATAAATGGCAACAAAATAATAAAGGATATTGAAAGAGAGAAATAATCATATGACTCAAATACAAAACGTTCAGGAAGAAATAGCAAAAGGGACAGGAAAAAGATAAATTGGAATATTGGTTAGACAATAAATAAAGAGTTGGTTATTCCCATTTCCATGAGAAAAATAATTTTCTCAAATATACACGCCTACCTGTAAATATTAAATTCAAAGAATTAAAGGGCAAATGCGGACAGGCTGTCTTACACGTCTATGGTAAAACAGAAACCACAAGGCTATAAAGAAAACAGTGAAGACATTGCTTGGCCATGTTAAGAAAAGGTTAATCATTAAACTTTGTACTTTCCTTTTACTGTGATTATTGAAAATTATTGTACACTGAGAAATATTGTGCCAACTCATGGTTTGATTTATGGTCTGATACTTTACTGCTATTATAAGCTTTCTAATTATAAATAAAGGTTGTAGAAGGCTGCTTTTTCAGAAGTAGAGAGAGAAAAGAAAAAAAAGATATTCGGGCTGACCTCCCCCGAGTGGGTCAGTCAACAGCCTCTACCAGAACTGCAATTGTGGTTTCTGGTATAGTCATTTCTACACCCGCAGTTACCTTCACCCCTTCAGGCCCCAGACTCAGCTGGAGCTGGACTCCAGCAGTACTTTACAGTAATCCTCTGGATTCCTTAACTGTCTGTCAGACCCTTCATAATCTAGTCTCAAATGGCCTTACTGTGTTCTAGTTGCTGCCCTCCTCCATCATATGCTTAAGCCAAGTGGGAGCAAATTTTCTCCATTGTTATCAAGTACTTGGTCACATATGTGAGTTACTTTCTCTGCCTTGATCAGCTCCCTCATCTCCAGTCTGACTCCAACTTTCTTTGTGTTTAACACTATACTGAAGCAATACAGCATTACAATTCCCTGTTTGCATGTCTGTGCAGCCTATGAGACTGTGAGAAATCAGGGACCACATCTTCAACATTGGTTCTCAATACAACCTGATTTACAAAAGTACTAGTAAGGATTAGAACAGCTACCACATACGGAAGGGATCTCCATGTCATGTTCAAATTGGTGAGATCTGAATAAAAGCCTTAGATAAGTAATATTTATGGAGCACATACCAAATCTGTGCCAGGAAAAATCTTATCTCTATGAATTTAACTCTATGAATAAAAAATCTTATCTCTACGAATTTAACTCTATGAATAAGCAGGAAAAAAAAATGGTCCTGTTAGAACAAACAGTGATGAGATTAAGTGGTGGATCTAGAAAAGCAATCAATATCTTTCCTACATCAATGTCTACATTGTTAACAATTATGACATACAACCTCTCCAGCTATGTTCCATTTTTTTCAACCTTCACCTAACTGTCTCATCCAATCTCAACTCAGCTTCTCACAGGTTCAAGATTGTCTTGTTTCATGAAGAGAATAATGAATAGAGTCTGAGGTTCCCTTTGATTTACACAAAAATTTTAGCTTGTTCCTTTTCTTGGACAACTCACTTTCACCCTCACATCTATGTAACTTCTGCCTTTACCTTTAAGTTTTCTTCTTTAAATGGATGCTGAGAATTTCCTTTATAGGAGAAAGGTGTAACTCATCTTCTAATTCTGGGAAGGCTACACTATGCAGTCAAGCATTTAGATTAAAGACAGAAGGGTCTTTAAGGAAGAAACTGGATAGCTAGGTAACAGATACACAAATCAATGAATGAAATGTCCCAATCAAACATCACAGGCCAATCTGACTGATGTTTCTTAACCAATCTCCTTTTACCTGAAATGGAAATAAAAGTTCCCATTTCATAGGATCACTGTGAAGATTAAACGAATATAGGAAAAAAAACTCAAAACACACCTGGCCATCAGTAAGCACTCCATAAACCTCATGCTATTATTACAGCTGGGGTTACAGGCTTTAAAATACTAACGTTCAGTGAAAGTCCCAAAGTCATATTAAGACTCCAAAGAAGTCAGGAGTGGCCCGGGGAAGTGGAAGTCTCAGAAGAAAACGAGAAGACCTGGTTCCAGAAGGATCCACCACAGTAGTAGGAGCAAACATCATGCGCCTTGTAGTGAACACAGGATAATGTTTTTATTAAACTTTGCAAATATATATTTGTGTTTCACCTGTTGCTAACAGTAACCATATTTCAACAAATACTCTAGCATTACATCAAATTCAAAGTCAGCACGCGTTATCAGTGGGAGAGTCAGCGTATAAAGAATTGGGTGCTAGGTAAAGCAGTAGGACTTGAGAAGAATGTTCCTAAACCTGATGGAGGTTCGCGAACACTCGGCTTGGCTTCTCCAAACTTCCCTGGACCCCAGCCTAGCAGTTATGTCTCCCATGGCTCGGTCCCGGATCTCAAACCACTTACAACTCTTAAGATGGTACAGAAGATCCGAGAGGAGGACAGCTTGAGCTCAGGAAGCAACCTCACTGCTAGGACTCGCGTCCAACCCTGGGAGGTAAACTTCACTAGCATGAAAAGGCTTAGGGCGGGAAAGGACCCAGGATAAAAGCTCCGGAGGAGCAGCCCGGAAGTGGGAGGAGGAGGGCTGGGAGTACCGCAGGTGAGGGGTCCGCACCAGCACGAAGGAACGGG